GGCCACCACTCCACGTGTCAACACTTGGCTGCTCCAACAGCTAAGATTTCATTTGGATAATTTTTTTATTGTTTTTTAAAATAATTTTTTAGTTAAAAGTTTTTATTTCAAGAAATTTTTTAACTAAAAAATTATTTTAAAAAACAGTCCCAAATGAAAAACAAGGGTACATTTTCCTTTATATATTTGAACTAAGTTTTTTTTTTTTTTTTTAAATTAGTATATTAAGGAACAAATTTTAGTATTTATATATTTATCTGAAAAAATATTTGAAGTAAATTGAAAACATTTTATGCTTGCATTGATTTAATTGTGGGTTATCTTTATAATGTATTTCTTTTTATTTACTGCATTTTTTATTTTTGTTTCAAAATAATTTCATAGTAATAAGATATAATAATCACTGTATACATTGATTTATAAAATTCTTAATGAGTGTTATGTGTTTTGATTTTTTTTGCACTCAATGATTAAATTAAATTTCTTCTATTTTTCAACAAAATGTATAAATGGGCAATTTTTTATATTAATTTGCTCCTTTGTTTATACTCACTATATATTTATTTATTGTTTAGCAAATGACTCAATAAGAGCTCGGTTATGATGGATAAATTATTTATTACATGAATAATTAAATTTATGACTTTAAAATTATATTACATAAATAGTTTAAGTTAAACCATTTATTCTCTTTTATTTTAAAATATATTATTTAAATACCTTAAAAATACTAAGCTCTAATTTTATTTTAATTGCTTTGTTCTATTTTCTATGATTATACAGATATATATATATGAAGTATTGTATATTTTAAAAAAATTATATTCACCACCTCTATTCATAATAGTAATGCTAAAAAATTGAAGAGCATAATAAAAATATTAAAGAAAAAAGCATAAACTAATATATTTGATTGGGTAGTATGGTAGAAATGTAAATAAGAAAAGTAGGGATAATATGATTGTTATTTTAGTCTTTTTAATTAATGGCAGAGAAATAATGTTTTTATTATATAAAATTACAATGAAGTATTTTTATATTTATATTTGTATCATCAATATATAATATGTATAAAAAAGTGTGTTTTATGTTGAATAAATTGTTATATTAGTAGTATTCTTGACATAATTTAGAGATTTAGGGTTCGTTTGGGATTGCTTTCGTACTGCTTCTTAAAGCGGCTTTTTAGTACAAAAAAAGTGTGTTTTATGTTGAATAAATTGTTATATTAGTAGTATTCTTGGCATAAATTAGAGATTTAGACTGCTTTCTTGCTGCTTCTTAAGATAATTTTCTAGCACAAAAAATAACAATTTTGTACTAGAAAGTTGCTTTACGAAGCAGTAAGAAAACTGTCCCTTAGGCTTTGTTTGGATTGGCTTTCATTTTGCTTCTTAAAGCAGCTTTCTAGTTTATAAAATTTTATAAAGACGTCCCAAACGAAGCCTTAGTAACTAATCTAATGCTTGTGTTGCATCTTTCCTTTCAGGTCATGACTGATCCAGATGTTCCTGGCCCCAGTGATCCATACCTTAGAGAACACCTTCACTGGTAATTCTCAACCATCTATATTTTGTTTACCATTCACTACTAAAATTTGGCGGCGGTTTTAAAACCGCTGCGCTGCTAATTCTGTCTCAAAATTAGCAACGGCGGTTTAAACAACCAATGTAATTTTCCTTCCGCAAATCGCTGCAAAAGGCATTTGTAGCGTACAACGGTTATTGTGATCTTACAGTAATTGTTGATTCGCCGCTAGCTATTTTGTGGCGGTTAAAATCGTCGCAATATCATAAAAAGAGCAACAAAAGCCTTTTTTTCCCGGTTATTATTTATTACTAAATGTAAAATTTAAATTCATCTAAATATTTTATGCACAATAATACACCAAGATAACATAAAAGATATAATTAAAAGCATAAAATATATTTACTTATAGTTTAAACATTTTTTACAGGATTGTTACTGACATCCCAGGCACCACTGATGCTTCATTTGGTAATCTCAATAACATTATCTTTTTTATAATAATAAGACTTAAAATCATTAAAGTTTCATTTGGAATAATTATTTTACTGTTTTTAGAGCAATTTTTTAGTAAAAAATTTTTGAATTAATAAAAAATTATTTTAAAAATAGTAACAAAGGTGTCCCAAAAAGAGCGGCATATAACGGTACCGCTAGATACCCAATGCTTGTGCGGACGAGTCCCCCCGTCCGCACCTAATAATCTCTCAATTGATTGGGTCGGATTCACATGGGTGCTCTTTAATGGATTTTTATGTTTTATTTGGAAAAACTTTCTTATTATTTTCTAAAGCAGTTTTATACTATAAAAATATCTAAAATTGCTCTATAAAATAATAAGGAAGTTGTACTAAACTAAGCCTTGGGACGGCATTCTTATAGCTTCTTAAAGCAGTTTCCTAATTCAAAAACTAAAATTTTTGTACTAAGAAGCTGCTTTAAGAGGCATAGAAAAAGCCGTCTCAAACGAATCCTTAGTCTTAGCTTGTTAATAGATTTTGTTTAGCCGCACACTTCTTAGAAAGATTATGATGTAATAGTGTCATGATTTTCTTATATGATTTGATAATGTTTATGAATTTTATGATTGTGAGGATTATGAGAATGAATCCAATTCATATGAAATTTATGTTTAGATGCTTAATATTTTATAAATATTTTTCTCTATTATATGGAAT